GTGTAAATAAAATGGCTCTGTCCATGTTAAAATATATTTTTAAAAAATTTACAAAACTAAAGAGCCTACAGTATTTTTACAGTCTTTATTTAACAGTTAAAATAAATGTTTATCAAATAAAGTCTAATGTTACAACTCATCAGGGATCCCTTCAACTGAGCGGGGTAAATATTGTCCCTTATTCTTTGGACCCATCTCAGGGTCCTCACTGAGCTCAGAAAGCTGTGGCTCTGAAGCTGGAGCTAAAGAAATGAGTAATAAAGATGACTAATGGCCTCGTTGCCACACGGAGAACAGCTCACCTCAGGGCTTATAAGGAGCCTGAAGTGGTTCCTGCAGCCTGAAAGCACCTTCTGTTGGGTTCTCTTATTGGTTCCTAAATCTCAGCAGATCTGCACTGRAGCAGTTTCAGCTCCTCACTTTCAGCTTTGTACTACTTTTCCAATAACGCAGCAACGATTTGTTTCTGAAAACTGTTTCTGCCCTGGCTGTAGAAAACCTCTGTTTCTGAGCCTTTGATCATTGTTTCAGCTGCACTTAGCAAACACTCTGTGTTCCCATATTATTAAATATTTAAAGAGWGAAAGTGTTACAGTGTGTCATTCATCAGCATTAAATGTTGTCTTAGTTTCAGTCAGTTTACGCAGACTGAAGGTTTAAACGCTGAATTAAAGAGCCCTAATGAGCCTCTTTTTTCTGAGAAAATAKAGCTAATAAAATGTGTGAGAGGTGAAAATAAAAGYWTTTCAAGTTCATTAATAATAGCTGACTCCTGCTACTGAAYGAAAGGTGGTGATGATATTTTGCCAGTGTGTGTTAGCCTGGTAAAACCAGCCGTGWGGCCTCTGTTGAAGTTTAAAACGATTGGATCTGATTTACCCAATCGCTATCGGTTGGCCACGACGCATGTGTGCCAGCTTCACTGTGAAGGAGGCTAAGCTAAGAAGCTAACCGGAAATTGCTTGGGTGTGCTGTAAACAACCCTACTGAGAGGAGAAATATACCGAGCCGAACGAGATGGCTGTAAATGAGTCCTGCAGGCTTTGTCAGGCAAATTTAATTTAATTTGGAAGCCTTGTCAACACAGACTGGCTTCATTCCCTTCCTCCACTGCACAGAAAATCTGCGTTGTTTAAAACTGCTTCTGTTCTCTGATTGGCCCGACTGAAATTCTCCTGAAGAAATCCTTGTCTGTGGGAGAAATCGCTGACGGAGAATTGAAGGGAAACTAGAATTGAGCGGAACTGTGTAGGAAGGCAAGGGCCAGGTAGGTGTGTGTGTGTTTGTGGGTAAGTTTTTGCTACATTGTGGGGACCAATTTCCAGAAAAAGGCAGCCTATTGGGGACCGAATGTGCATCACGAGTACAGATGCCAATTTCTAGTGCTGGGGGTTCGGTTTAACCAACTGACTTTAAAAGCACAAACATGGATTTAACTCAGTATGTTTTATAAAACTTTACAAATACTGACCTGTTTTATGGTTCGGTAGAGACTGAGACTGATCCTCCAACAGACCAACAACATGACTGTCTCTACGTGTCCCTGTGATGGACTGAAGACCTGTCCCCCACCTATCCATCCATCCATCCATCCATCCATCCATCCATCCATCCATCCATCCATCCATCCATCCATCCATCAGTCCATCCATCCATCAGTCCATCCATCCATCCATCCATC